CCCCAAAACCCCAAAACCCCAAAACCCCAAAACCCCAAAACCCCAAAACCCCAGAGTTTATATAAATTATTGAACAAATAATGCAAGGGTAAATAAACCATTTGATGAAAGTACTTATTCGGTCATTATTTAACCTTAAAAATGTTAACCCCTCCTTTATAGAGACAGCTTTTACATACGGCGGAAAATATTAACATCCAGGATAAAATATCGTAAAAATCGATTAGAGAGAACTTTTAACAATGAGTTAGTTGATCGTTCGGAAAATGTAAGAATAAGCTGCTGTGTTTCAAGGAATTAACTGTGTGTTGAATTTCTTAAGGCGTCATCTCAACTCCCAAATCAATAAATTTCTGTCAAACTCTTTCTCGGATGGCTCTGCAAATCTGAATTTATAGCCTTCATCAACTTTATTAAGCCATTTATGAATTCTTCAAAATATTTTAAAATGATTTTAAGTGCAGTGAAAGACTTACTGGATTATAGTGGACACCTCAGAGCATGCTTTTCCATCATAGAAGAAGTATAGACCAAAAGAGTACATCATGAGTCTAAATAGTATAGCAAGATCAAGCACTAGACAGAAGAAAATAAGACTGATGCCAGATATTAGAATAAACCCTCATTCTTGAAATAGGAGTTTATTCTTCAGCGATAGCTCAATGGAGAAACAGGTCCTTATGGCCTCTCTCACCAGGAAGTACAATAAGAAACTTCTCATAGAACAGGAGAAGCGCAGAGTTCAGGTTGAGAGTTTGATGAAAAGAAAGATGATTAGGAAACATTATTTTAACAAATTTAATATCAAAGTCAGTCATAAAAACTTTCTCAGGCTGGATGAAAACAGGCTGCATGAATATTTCATCCAAAAACAGAGAAGTAAATTGATGAATAAGTCTGCTAAGAAAATCCAAACTGCTTATCGAAGGTTTATTGCAAGAAAATAAGTATTTGAAATACCTTGAATTAATCAATTCCTCAGCTACTAGGCTTCAGAATTGCTGGAGAGCATACCGAAGAAGAAGCTTGTTGCCAAAAGCTTGGAAGAAATTCAAGTATAATAGAATAACCCGGATCCAATAAAAGTTCCTCAGAGGATATCATGCGTATAATAAAATTCAAAAAATCAAACATAAGAACAAGCTGAAGGATGTCTTCAACTATTTCGAAAAGGTGAAGACCTCAATGAAGATTAACGCTCAGATAGTCATTGCTTACCACTGGAGGAAGAGAAGGCGTATGTTCCAAAAGAGACTTGAAGAAATGGCCAAACAAGCAAGGAGGTAAGCTCTGGCAGTCATAATTTATAGGAAAAATTCGAATAAGAAGTAATTCTGTCAATAATCTCTTAGAAAAATTAAAAAGCCAAGGCAGTCAGTTAAATGGAATATGAGAGGTAGATCCACGTTATTAAGACACATAGGTCCTTCCCATACTATTAAGCTTAAAAAGCAGAGCTCAAATATCAAGAGCAAGGCCTTGAAGAAGTAACCTCCTCCACTCATCTTTAGAAGGAAAAGTTTGAATAGTAATACTGATCTAGATACAGTGAAGGAAGACTAGGTTTCGTAAATTTCAATTGTGTTTCAAAATTTCGGGGTTTTGGGGTTTTGGGGTTTTGGGGTTTTGGGGTTTTGGGGTTTTGGGGTTTTGGGG